GGGCTGGTGAGGCTGGGAGGAGATGGTGGGAGAAGGATTAAGAAGGCTTCTCTGGGCACGAGGTCAGGCCCATGCTCAGGTGGTAAAAGAGAAAATGCAATAAAAGGGATGATTTTTTTTAAGGAAAAAAAAATTAATGGTTATTTGGAGAACGAAGAGGGTCTATGGATTAGTGTGGAGAGGACAGGAAGTGAGGAGTGGTCAGGGAGATGGGCTCTGAGAAGCAGTGCCATGCCCATGAGAGCTCTCAACTCCCCTTGCTCCCTGCCCCCACCACAGGATTGACAGAGATGGCAGGACAAGGGACAACCTTCAGCAGTTTGACACTGGCACTAAAAACACCAGCTAATTTTTTTTTTAATTAGTAAGAAACATTAGAAAGAAAAGAAGGTATTATATGTTAAATTTCAATGGTCCTCTATAAGCTGGTGTATTTGAAAAGAGAGTTACTATAATCAAAATTATATTCAGGCAGCTTTCCCTAGAGAGCATCCATCCTTTTCCAAGTGGAGAAGGGTTTAAACGGTGCTGATTGACAGGACTGCCCCCACAGAAGTCTGGCAGAAGCATAGACATCCTAATGAGAGCTGTAGGAAAAACCAAATGAATGATGTGAATGGGAGCAAAGGAAAGAAAGATGCTTCAAGTTGTCATCCTGTTGTGATACACTCAAAGGTAAAAATATGGGAGGAGAGGAATAGCCCTATTCAAATGAATTATTCAAAAAGGGGCTCTTTCAGTGGCATTATGCCAAAACCCTGAGTTCAGACTCATAACCCTTACCTCTAATGGTCTGTTTTGTCTGTGAGATAGTCACAAGCTAGACCAGTTTTCAGTGGTGTAAATTCATGATGGGGATATGCACCACTTCCCTTAATTTCTTGTGATGAGGTGTCCACATACTTTTGCCCATTCCCCTTTATCATCAGCAACCTCCTTTTGTAAGACTTTGTAAGCTAGAAGACTCTGACACCCCCGGGTAAAATTACCCAGTGCTTTCCAAGACCCACCCATGTTCTGTGTCTCAGCAGCAAAGTTAGTTTCAGGGCTACCCAGAGACACACACCAGTCACCAGTCAGATGCCACTTCCCTATAGGCCAGTGGACCAGACTTAGAGAGGGCTACTTTGTCCTTGATACTTTTCACCTTTCGTCAATGTCACAATCCCAAAAAACCCTGTTAATTGCCCAGGCCCATTCTCATAAAAAGCCAAAAGGACTTTGGGGTGCAGTTTTTAAGAAATCATCCCTGGCTGGAAACAATCCTACAGGAGGAACGAGGACAGGTGCAAAGGAGAACACAGCAAATACAAGTCAGGTCTGGGGAGCCGCATGGAGGTGAAACATGCAGAACTGCCTCCAGGACCCCCACTTACCAGCTTGCTTTTGACCAACTGTTCTATTGCACTGACAAGGTCTGCAGCAGTAGGTACTTCGGTGGAAGCCTGCCGGGCTGCTAGCAAAGAGGAGGACTGCAAGACATTGAGCAGCAAGGGAAAAGCAGATTAGCCAGGAATGAGGAATAGCAATTAGGAAGAAACACAGCAAGTACAAAGCTCAAAGCAGGTAAGGGAAGCAAAGCTCTATGTTTAGAGGGAAGAGATGGCAGAGGGAGATAGGAGTAGAGTGGGAGTGGGGCAGGCCTGCCTGACCCCTTGTCAGGAGCTCTGGCCAGCAGCGAAGCACAGGCCAGATGAGGCTCTGTTTAGGCAGGCCTCCAGAGGAGCTGGGGGGAGGGTCACCGAGTTCCCAGGAGGCCAACAGGGAAGGGCTGCGCCCACTGACAGCAACAGGGGAGGGGGCAGACAGGACTTTGGTCACTACAGGGCTGCCCACTGCTATTCCAGGAAATGAGGGGTCAATAAACCTAGCCTCAAGTGTGTCCAAAGAGAAACTGTCCTTGCTTTGCTGAGATGTAGATCTTTAGTACAGACAGACACTTTGTGTCAAGCAGAAACTCTAGGGGCAGGGCACTTGGAGACCAGAAACCGCCTCCCCACTCTCTCTCTCTCTCTCTCTCTCTCACACACACACACACACTCTCTCTCTCTCTCACACACACTTTCTCTCTCTCTCACACACACTCTCTCTCTCTCACACACACACTCTCTCTCACACACACACTCTCTCACACACACACACACACTCTCTCTCTCTCTCTCTCACACACACTCTCTCTCTCACACACACACTCTCTCTCTCTCTCACACACACACTCTCTCTCTCTCACACACACAAACTCTCTCTCTCTCCTCCACAAACACAACTGTTTCTGGTAAGGCCCAGGACTGAAACTCGAAAGTAATAAGGGCTTTAGCAGGCCTTGTGCCTCTCATGCTGGAGCAAACACGGACGGCCCTGTTCACAGTGAAAGGAGGCTCAAGCCCAGGGCCTTCCTTCTCCCTTCATATTAGCAATGAGGACTGGTCCATGGGACTGTTTGGTCAACATCCCTGCTCACTGAGGGACAGTGCTTTTGCTTTCTTCCTTTTCCTACTGGAGAAGAAACTGGGAGAGAAATGGTTAACCCTACATGCATGTGTAAGCTTTAACCCACCCCGAACTTCCAAACAGAAGGCAATGGTGTTCCCAGGGCCCAGGACAAACAGGCATAGCCACTGTGGGAGTAGAAAGTTGAACTTCCCAGCTGGGCTCTGGATTCAAGCTTGTTCCTTAAGTTAGGGGGAAGAGTTTCAAAAAGAAAGTTTTTTTGTTGTCTCATCTAAGACTGCCTTGAGGTTTTTGCTTCTGAGATGGGGTAATAATAACAAATGAATGTAATTAAGAGAGCAACACTCTTTTTCCTCTCCTGGAAAGCAGGAAAACAGCTTACGACTCTTTGGAAATCCAAGTTAGCTACTTCTCAATCTAGCCATCCTCCCCCTGGGAACTGATTCCAAGGAAGGAAGTCAAAAGAAAAAATGCTGTATGTACCAAGTGATCTGTAGCAGTATTACCAAGAGCAGCAAAAATTGGAAACAACCCAGGATATCCCAAAACAGACTGGTCAAGCGAATTATGATACATAAGATAAGTGTAATACTCCTCAACTATTAAAATTATAGTTATGAAGGTAAAATTAATAAGATTTTAGGAAATATTAAACACTATTAATATTTAATTTTGTAGGTATTAAAAATATAAACATTGAACACATCATATTCCTATTTATAATTATAAAAATAAAACATACATGCATATGAACAAATAGAAGGAAACAAGGAGAATTAAAGTAACTGCATAATACTAGAATGAGTGAACTTTTAAAAACTACTTTTATACTGATTTAAAACTTATTTTAGTAATTCCAATTCCATTTGCTAGAAAATTCTGAAGCTCGTCCCACTCCCAAATATTTCAGGAAAATAGAAGTTCAGAAGTCAAACAACAGGACTAAGGAGGTTCACCATGTCTTAAAAGGGGCTAATGCCATCTGCCGTAATCCTGTGTCTGGGGTGAGGCTGTATTCACAGTTAAAGATTATCCAGAAACAACATAACATCCTTTCCCCAAAACAAAGCGTGTTTGAGGGATTTCGAGGGGGAGGGTTCATGACCTTTCCTTGTAAGTTGGCACCTCCATGTGGAGGGCAGTGTGGGAGGGTAGATATGTGACCTGAGTGCCCTGCTCCCCACACACACTATCACTGCTTCTAGAACCTTTCACAATAGGCCTCTGGGAACACAGCAGGTTAGTTCTCGTTCCCATCTCAAGGCAAAGGTATTTCTGCCTCTAGGAATCCAGGATGGGCATCATGCCATGCTTCCTCTCCTTCTCTTTCCAATAGTCCAGTATCAGAGCATCACCTTAGGAGGGGCTGTAACTGTACGCTTCTCATGGGTGAGTCACCGAGGGGGGCAGTACTCACACTGCAGTCACTGGCCTGTCCGTGGAAAACATCCCTCTAGCTTAACACTCAGGAAGAGTGCAAGTAACGTCTGGGGCAACTGATCCAAACGCAAAGCAGAGAGAATGCAAATAAGATCTGGGATCTCACCAGGAGCCCTGGAGCAACTGTACCCAGTACTTTCTGACTTGCACCCTGGGTGGCACCGTGAAGGTCAGCTCCCTGCCCGTGCAACTTGGGCATACCACCTCTGAGGGGGCTGCTGAGTGCGGGACACAGCAAGAGAGAGCCCAGGGAGACCCTGGGGGGATGGCTAACCACCACCACCAGTACCATAAAATAACCCTGAAGTCATCACCTCCGCCTCCAGTCCTCCACAGAAAGGCTGAGAGAAGCAGCAAGAGAAACACGATGGAGTGAGAGCACTTCAGGCGGTGAGGAAGGGTGGTGACAGATTACACTAAGAAAGGAGGGACCTGCCTGAGCCCCAACTCAGTACCAGGAAGCAAATCCAGCCTGAGCTCTGCTCCAGAACGGCTGGGATGACCAGCTGTGCTCAGAGACACAGGGACGCACACATTCCCAACACCAGCGAGCCTCTGCATGCCACCGAGTCAGGGGTTTTGCAAACCAAAGAACTGGGGCAACCTGGCACATTGGGTTTGTCCATCTATGACAAAACCTGCCCTTAGCAGCATCTCCATCCCTTACTCTGCGTTTGCACCAGGCTTGACTGGAAGTTACTGTGATTTGGGGTTTAGAGTTAAGGATGAGGAAAACCATCAACTAAAACATTGGTTGAACAGTTATGTACAACAGAACAATCACAACCTAGAACCATCTCAGCTTCCTCTTTGAGACAAGTAGTTTCTTTTGGGATCTGCTGTTTCCAAAGAGAGAGCCATTATCCTTCATCAGCAGGACCTGATACTAAGCAGATTCTCACTTTGAGAATTCTCGCTTTGAGAACCCACCCCTACACTGCCCAAAATGAAGTTAGTCCCCACAGCCCAATACAGATGGAATCTGCATCATCTTGGAATCATGAGGCATAAGAGATAACAAGGGAGAGAGAGCATTACTACCCTTACCACACACACTAAACAAAATCACATTTCACACATGGCTCTTTCAAGTGAGAAAAAGATCCTACCATTTCGTCCTGTGTGGGGTCGTTGTCAAAGATCTTCATAGGCGGGGGGAGGGGTGTGTGTGACTCTTCATCTGCCTCATCTTCACCCCAACCTTTCTTGCTCTTCTAGAACAAAAGAGCAGCATTAGTCACTGTTTCCTGCAGTTAGAGATGTCAGTTGGTTCAGGACTTGGGATTTCTTAAAAGGCAACATATGATACCCTCCTCTCTCAACACACTCCTAGTTTTCCCTGTGTAGAATGGGCACCCTTGTGTATCTCAAAGGACAGTGAGGACCAAACGGGGGAAAACACACACACACATGAAAGACATCTACCTTACTGATTAACCAGGAAAAGAAAAGGCTGAGACAGTGGTCAGAGAGAAACCAACATTTTAAGTTTATGAACAACAATTAAACCACAATCTAAATGTCACCAGGCTCTGCTGTCATTCTCAGAGGAAGAAAAAGCAGATAGCCTAAAACCACAAAAAGAGTCTGATTTCATATCAAGAAGAATTTCTTAGCCATGTCAGTGACTAGAGTAGGTTAGTTTGCCATGTAAAAGAGTTATCTCATTCCATAAGCAAATACCCTTTATATTTTGACCACAGAATTGCAGCTTTGGAAGGGATGTAAGAGATCATTGGCCAGTCTGACCATCAGGTCAACAAGGGTCTCTCCGACTGCTATGTGAGGTCATATGCTCTCTCAAACCTTCCCAATATGGATGTTCATTTGTTTTCATGAAGGCCCATTTCATTACTAGTTGAGCTTCATTAAAGGCTGAAACCTTGTCTACTGTAAACCTTCACCTGTTAAGTATAATACTGCCCTCTGGAGAAACCAGTTGTCTACTCCCTTTTATATACGGCACTGCTCAACATACACGAAAACAGTCATAATCTCAAAAGACAGTCCTCTTGTTCTCCAAGTGAAATGATCTCCATCCTTTTATTCTTATTCTAAGCAGGCCTAGCAGGAACTTGCCTGGTAGTCCAGTGGCTAAGACTCCATGCTCCCAATGCAGGGGGCCAGCGTTCAGTCCGTGCTCAAGGAACTAGATCCCACATGCCACAACTAACTGTCCATAGGTCACAACTAAAGATCTTGCCTGCAGCAACTAAGACCCTGAGCAACAAACCAAATATTTTAAAAATAAATAAATAAAGTCCTAGCAGGTTTTTTGTAGTCTCTAGTAGAGACTGGGGACTTGGTGGCCACTGGCTTCCTGTGGGCCTAGACTGCCATCTCCAAAGGGTGGGTGGAGAAGGAAGAGGGATAGACTGGGAGGTCTGGGGTTGGCAGATGAAAACTATTACATTTAGAATGGATAAACAACAAGGTCCTACTGTATAGTGCAGGGAACTACATTCAAACTAGGTATCTTGAAAATACCTAGGCCCAAGAAGACCAACTATGGGGAGTTAGAATCCGGCTAGTTCACAAACCTTGGTGAAGGACATCTCTTGAGGCACCAGGAATGAGGCATGTCAGAAGCCCCTCCTGATGGAAGGCTCCGAGGCCTCGTGTAATTACCTCATCAGCGCTATCTCCCTGAGGGGTCGTCTCATCCCCAGGCTTGGGAGATCCCAGGTCAAAGCTCTTTCGACCATCTCGTACTTTCTTCTGCTTCTTGATGTTTCCGTCTGCTTTCCCACTGTTAAGCCGGCGCACGGGACTTGTCAGCCACTTCTTCAGGGTGTTGGTGGAACGCTTGGGCCCAGGGGAGCTGTGGATGGAGTTCAGGGATGGTTGGGCCTGCAGGTTGGCCACCGACTCGGACTTGCCTCCGTTTTCACTTGAGGAATGAGAGTACGCATCTGAGGAGAAAGAACAGATAGACATAGCTGTGTCAGGACACTTAAGGTAGGCTGCCAGCCTGGGAATAAGAGAGCTCAGCCTCAGGAAGCAGGGTACAAGGCAGAGTATCAAGGCCAGCTGCAGATCCTGGTCAAGGAAACCCCCCTATTATCAGATGGTAAGAGCTAGCACTCAATCCACAGGTGCTGTGGATACGTAGTAGTAGAAGACAAAGACCCCTGCCTTCATGGAAAAAAAAAAAAAAATCAAGCCTCTCAGTGAGATTCATCAACTGATACCAATGTCATAAAGCACTGATGAGTATACTAAAGTTGTATAAGACAGATTTTATTTTCAAACCCCTTATCTAGTTACATACACAGAGAGAGAGACAGAGAGAGCGAGAAAGACAAGAGCCAAAGAGCAAGACAGAACACGCAAAATGAAGATAAATGCGCAAAGCAGTATATGATTGATTGCCAAAGGGCTGGCATGGACTCTAGATGATACAGAAACAGAGTTCAGAGGAGGGTCAAATCAGTGGAGGCAGCGAGACTGGTCTGAAAAGTTTTAATGGAAAAGATGTGTCTGAATAGAAGAGAATTCCAAAAGGGGGACATGCCAGGAACAAAAGCACAGAGGCAGGAAAATGGAAAAATAAGTTAACACAGCCCTTAAGTAGATCCTTTAAATGAAATACAGATTAACAGAAAAGGAAAAACTGGACAGAAAAAGTGAAAACATTTAATAATAAACTAGAGGAGTATGAACTTTATTGTGAGACTCTACTGGGAAATGGGGCGATAAAAAGGGCTTTTGTTTTTTTAATTAATTTGGAAACTACATGTAACATAGCCCTGGGAAGAAGATTAGAATCCAGAAGGCCACCCTAGGACACAGCAAGGACAAAAGAAGGAATGTGAGGCATTTCAAAGCAAGATGTGATAGGGCTAGCATCTGGATGACACATCAAAGGTGAGTTGTCTCTTTTGTGATGCTGCTTCTCAATGGCAAAGGTCTTGGGAGAACACCTGACCAATTTCACCTCACCCCTGATGGGCCCTCTTACCCTGGTACCAGTTTGCATGCTGGTATTTACACAGAGTATTGCTGTGACTTTTCACATCCATTTGTCTCAAAAACCAAATAATCTTTTCCTATAATGACTTTATCTGAGACCCAGACTAGAGGTCTAATCTGGCCTTGGAGGCCCTACAGCCTAGACCTGCCCAATACATTCAATATAAAACCTTAAAGTGAATCAATGCTTTTGCCAATAGAGAGCTGCCTCCAGCTTCTATAACTGGTGGATCTCATAGGCACACTCAGGCTCTTGACCCTGTGGGAACTTCCTTGGCTATGGTCAGAGTTCTGTGCATACTCTGGAAAACAATGGCAGAATATCTGCATGTAGAAGCATTAAAAATTGAGCTCCTAAAGCCCCTTGGTATGAAGGAACACTCAGAGGGTTGCTCAGCTCAGGGACTATGTGGGGATAGACTGGCTTGGTTGACGTCCCTTTAAGGACAAAGTTGTAATCTTATCTCAGACAATTCTGTGTTGGCTGTGGTCTTGGTTGTGTTGACATTATTTCTGAAATGTTTGGTATGGGTCAAACTCTTGTTCTCAAAAGCCTGGGTGATAAACATCTCAGAAGCATTGGTAGTGGGCCTCTTATCTTTCTGTTGATAAGCTGCAGAGGCTTTCCATTCACCATACCCACGTGATACCACAAGGCTCTATTAAATCCAAGCCTTCAAAACTTTAGATATGAGCCAGTTAAGTCAGCAGAGCTAGAGGCCCAGCTACATTAATTGTGCCTGGTACTACTACGCAGACAGATGACTGAATACATTTTCTGTTCCATGGCAAACCACAGGCTGGCTTTGAGATTCAAGAATGCAAATTTTGACTGACCATTCTTTTTCTCTGTCATCTGGTTCTGCTTTGGTGCATTCTGAACAAATTAGTGGCAAGTGGACAGATTACAAAGTACAAATAAAAATCAAGAGTATTCTCACTTTTGTTTCAAGTTTATTCTGTGTAAACAATTAGGGCCATTCAACCACAGCCCACATAAAAGAGAATTCAAGAATTGGAAGCAATCTCTAATTTGTCATCTACAGTTAGGGTCCTGTATTGAGACAGGGCTACCTCTAAATCACTTTGAATGCAAAAGAATATGGCATCATTTAGTCTTAAATTTATACTTAGTTTATTGCTACTTCAAAGAATAATTGGCACGTGATGCTCATCCTATCTTTGAAAAATGGATGCAATGAGCTGTTTGAGAATTTATTCTAGTACCTTTCCAGGCACAACAGTTAACTGACTGATTTGTAATAACTACAACAGTAATACTGTTATCTCATCAAATCTTTCCAAGCTGAGATAGGTACTATTTAGTATGATTGTCATTTTAGGAAATAGAGTGTTCCAAGAAACCAAGGGTCAGTGTTGGTAAGTGGCAGAGAAACAAAATTTATACCTAGATCTGACTCCACTACCACATATATTTAATCTTAGCCCAACATCTGTGTTTATACCATGTTTCAGCCTCTATAATTATTGTAAAAAGGAACATCAAGTTGCTAGTCTATGCAACATTCAGTTCAGTTCAGTTCAGTTGCTCAGTCGTGTCCGACTCTCTGCAACCCCGTGAATCGCAGCACGCCAGGCCTCCCGGTCCATCACCAACTCCCAGAGTCCACTCAAACTCATGCCCATCGAGTCGGTGATGCCATCCAGCCATCTCATCCTCTGTCGTCCCCTTCTCCTCCTGCCCCCAATCCCTCCCAGCATCAGGGTCTTTTCCAA